AATCCAGCACCGCACCATCACTCACCAACACCCAGCTGCCAACAAGAGAGGAGCACCAACAAAGTACCTCCCGTCACCAGCACCAGCGCCGTACGCCAGTGCCAACGCACCCAGCATTTTTTTCCTTTTTTCTTTTCACTGACGGCCTTACTGACCTCATTCCAATCCGCTCTTTCCACAACCACCAGTCTTGGTCTTCGTCTTTACATCAGACACACACCAACACACCACACACCACACTCCCGCTCCCGCTCCCTCTTACACTCAACTTACACCATCTTTCGATTTCTTCCTCAATTCCCTCATTTCGAGCTTCTTACGCCTCGCTGCTAAATCCGTATTCTTTTACCAGCTACTGTTCTGCCACTCACTCTCACTGTTACTTGTTCCTGTCAAACAGATCCACAGCAGCCAAGTCCCTGGTAGCTTAGCAATTCATCGACTGCGATCGATACCTAGACACAACGGCACATTCGTCTTGCTTCAACACCGCCCCGAGCAGCACAACCCCCTCCCCACAGACGACACTCACATATACCCAACGGGGCCGCCGCTGTTTTCTACCCAGAATTTATTGTTTCCCACGTCGCATTGTCAAACATCATGATAGGCCTGGTTCCGAATAACGACTGCCGGCTCCCGAGTTAACAATACCCACCCACAATTCGATTGGTATGAGGACTAGACGAGACTCCATTCCCTTTGCTGTCTCACTTGAAAATCCTCGACCATGGAAAAGACATCCAGCACCGCGAACGGGTCCTCTGACGCAAGCCAGTCACAATTAGAAAACGCAAGGACGGCTGTCGCTCCTCCCTCCCATACTACCACCATCACCGAACCCCAGCCGCACTCCAAAGAATCCTCGGCCACCACATCCTTAACGCCATCACCATACAACTCCCGCGATACTTCACCCTCGCGACAGCCTCCAAAGCCTACCATCGCGCCCAAGTCGTCCTCCACCCCCGCGCTGAGGTCGCGCAAAAGCAGCCAGCAGGACTTGACCGCAGTCCGCACGCCCAGGTCCAGCAGCAGCATACCGGGCCCGCCGGCTTCATCGAGAGTTCTTTCCGCTGCTACCACTCCTACCCTCCTCCCGAACTCGCAAGAATCTTTTCTTAAATCCATCAACCCCCAAAAGGCGCCTCTCAACATTGAGGTGATACAAACGAGAGATAGCCCTCGCTGGCCAGTGTCGCCTCGCTTGCGCTCACCCCCTCCTCAGCTCAACAAGCCCCAAAATCCGCCCGCGCCACGTCGAAGTGAGCAAGATACACCGAGAATAAACCTTACGAGAGCCTCTCCTTCTCCCCAACCCGATCCCCTTCCTTCCATGTCCGAGAGCGAGACCGACGACTCACAACTCCCCTCTGGCGTGAGAACCCCGGTAACTGTAAACGGTTCAGCATTAGAAACAGTGGAGGAAGTGAGCTTGCCGAATTCGCCGGGACAGATGGATTCCACGTTGGAAAAGGTTAATGAAAAGCTGGCCCAAGAGGCAGCTGCCAGCGCCGACAACCTCCACGCAGACGCAAACCGGACGATTCGACTTAGCAGGGGATCCCTCCAAACCGCCGAGACGGGCGACAACGGGACACTCAAAGGGCGATCCCAGAGCTCTGCCCCAGCACCAAATGTGACGCGACAGCCTAGCATGCTATCACACAAGCAAGGAAAGGGTAAGGCGGCGGGGGAAGGATCCTCCCTCATAGTCGAGACGGAAACAGTGTCTTCCATCCCCCAGGTGGCATTGGCGCCCGCTTCTAAATCAGAAGCTGGCGGCGGTACGTTGAAGGCAAAGCCGAGCACCGAGACGATTCGACCCAAAAAGGAGAAGAAGAGAACTAGCCGGAAGCAACCGACTGTCAACCCTGGCAATGGTAAGATGACACATTTACTTCTACACATTCCTTTATGCACATCCAGCGAACCCCACGACCGGCATGTATTACAACGATGTTTTGTCGCCGACCAAAATCTTCTTTGAGACCGGGAAAGGCAGTTGCTTGTAACTCTGCGGCAGCTCGTGGGACCCAGATCTCATTTCCGGGTGATTCTTTGTGGTTTGCCCGTCACAGAATAAGAAAAGACCCCTTTCTCTAGGAACTTACTGATAAGGTGTCATTTAGCATCCTCCAAAGCAGATATATTTGAGGCTAAAGTGGCCAGCGCAGTCGATGAGGCGAACGCGTCAGACTCGGAAGAAACGTTTGTATACGATTCTAACCCTCCTGATGTGGGTGACAGACGCCGGTTTCATTCCCGAACTCCCAGCGCGACTTCTATGGTAAGCCAAGCCGACCGGCCCGGCGGCATGGGTATGCGCTCGATCCATGAAGCTTTACAGGGCGGCGCTTCTGCTGCTGGCCTAAAGAAGAGCATGAAGTTCGTCAACACGTTCAGTGGCAACGGACCCGAAAGCCTGGGCACAGATGAAGATGGGAAAGGCAGCGGCAGAAGTGTTGGACCTGGTTCGGGCAGGGGCACCACCAGGCACCACCACCACAATCATTTTGGGCGGTGGGGACGACAACCTGGTAACTCGCATCCCTCTCTCTTCGACAACGAATCGCTATTTCCCAATGCCGCACGATCAAAGTTATCGGGGAACACCTCAAGGCACTCGTCCGGCCCTCCGAGCCCCAGAGTTGCTAGTTCCGCAAGAGGTGGTCCGCATGCTCTCGGAAAGCGATCCTCGATCCAGATGGCTCGTTATGATGCCGCCGACGACACCACGACCGGAGCTGACGACGAGCGCACCCCCTTGATATCATCAACAGTTCGGTCTGCGCGAAGAAGCCGGCGCCACCCTACAAACATGCGAAACCTGGAATCACAGGCATACAGGCAACAACCATCTTATTTAAATCGGTTCGCCGCCTGTTTAGTGGTGACAATGATGCTACTGCTCGTCATTACCGGCGCCATTGGCTTCATGTTCGCTACGTCGCAGCCGCTCACGGACATCCAGCTTGTTTCCACCAAGAACGTCTTGACTAGTGAACCAGAACTCATGTTTGATCTGACGGTCAAAGCTCACAATCCCAATATCGTGGTAGTGACCATTGATCAGGCGAATCTTGAAATATTTGCCAAGTCGCCCCATGCGGGGACAGACTCGGACTGGTGGAAGCGGCCGCATGATAGAAACGAGGGCGGTCTCGAGGGCCCGGAGATGCATATTCGGGACGATCCCCCTGATGACCCGCCAGAAGACGATACTGCGCCAAACATGCGTCTGGGTACCATTACAGAGTTTGACAGCCCATTGTCTTTCGAAGGATCCTTCTTTAACAAAGGTGTTTCGGCGTCTACTGGTACGATGAGGCTTCATCTCCCTGGCAATCATTCTGCCGGAGGCTCCGAGCGTTGGGGTCGAATCATTCAAGATGAGTTCGACTTAATCATCAAAGGTGTGGTTCGCTACTCTCTGCCCTTAAGCCAGCGGGTACGAAGTGCACCAATATCTGGAAGAACGACGGTCAAGCCTAATTCTGCCAACGACCCATCACTTCGACCAAACACAACTTTGCCTGGAGAGGTACCAGGTCTCGAACCATAGGGTGACGGTCGACACATCCAACCATTTTCTTTGTCAACTTGTTCTGTATATTGAGCGTGCATGGCATGGCATAGCATTTCAAAGGAACGACGGCGTCAGATGGTACTTTCCAACAACAAGCGCTTTGGAACAAAGACGGATAAAAGCGACCTGTATATACTTTTGTTGAGACCGTCGTCAATCACGATGGTTCCTCTAGTTTTGAGCTTGCGTTTCTGCGCAACTATTGTTCTGCGTTGCTTTTTGTTTCCCCCTCTCATTTAGCTGATTCCTACCTTTATGGACCACGCTCTCTCACTCGGCATATTAGGAAGTACAGCGCACTCATTTAGGGACAGGACTTTTTCTTTACTATGGGGAACAGGTTTTAGGGCAGTTACTTCTCATTTCGCGGGGATTTCCTCGTCATGGTCTAGGAACCATCTTCGACACGGCTTTTTGACAGTCTGGAGGGGGGTTGCATTAGAAAAGGGGGAAAAGTAGCAACTACACTGTTGTAATTGTAACGAATTTGACGACCGACGGGAGAGAAGGGAAAGGTGAGGAAATAGTCAGGTCCGCCTACGGAGGTGCGTGGCAATAAGGAAATGAAATTCCAACAACAATAACAACACTAACGTCATAACGGCGAAGAAGGTCGTGACGTGGATAGAGGACATGTTAGCCATGGTAGGGGGATGACACGAAATGGACACTTATTAAACAAGCAACCACCCTCGTCTCATTTCCCTTGGAGCCTGGCCATGCCATACTTTGATCTTTTTGTAGGTACGATTCAGCAATGTGCGATGCTGGGCGCCACATCTGTTTCGTACCTCCAGTTTCCCCAGGCATATAACACCTTGAAATCCGCCCCGCTCTGCCCTGCGCTCGCATAACCCTGCCAGCTGACCATCATCAGAAGGCCGTGAGCCTCCTAGACAGGTACTTCCACCATAATACCTTGACTGTCTTTGCAACAGGAAAGGCAGGAGTGATGGGTGGGTAGTGTAATGTGAACACATATCGGTACATCCCAGATAACTTTGGGAGGGGTTGTGGTTTAACTTGGGTCTTTTCTTTTGAGGGGGTTTTTTTTTCTTCCTCGTTTCCGCCTTTGAAACGGACCCCTCCAATCGGAGCCGGGCTGAGCCAAATGCAAACCCTTTATCTCGTCTGAGTAAATGGTCCTTGATAGTCCTCAGGTTGCGGAGGAGGCAGTCAACACGCGTCGGTGTGTGAGGAGGGTTTGCTACGCGCCCTTGAGAGAGACCAGCCGGTTTGAGTAGGGTATGGAGGTGATAAGACAGGCGGATTTCCCTTGATAGCACGTGGTTACCAGGAATGGAGAAAGGGGGGAAGGAGAACATAGAGGGAATGAATGGCTCCTTGAGCCTCTTGTGCACCATTACGTGACATCCACATCTGGTCCACTCGACATGCGGGTGAAGAAGCAGGCAACTTGGCCGAGCGGTCTAAGGCGCCAGACTCAAGATACCGGTTCGTACTAAAAGAACCTGCGTCTTCCCTGTTTACCAGGGAGCATTCTGGTCTCGAAAGAGGCGTGAGTTCGAATCTCACAGTTGTCAATCCATGTGATTATTTTTTTTCTACTTCTAGGCCATCAAGTCGTTTTAAAAGCACGACTCATCGATGTTGCTCGGATCGCTCATTATCAGTTGATCGTTGCTTGATTAGCCTTGGTGAAGTCCCTACCTTTCGTTAATGCGGACAACATCACCGGGCTGATGATCAGACCAAGAACGTCCCGAGTTACAGAGAAAAAAGAGGCAAGTGATGTGAGCAAGTAAGCCTGTCTTAATTGACCTGAGGCTACACACACAACGACTAAGCATATCTCGCAAACATTGTTTTTGTCCGAAGTGAGTGACCCGTTCGTTCCAAAACTCGGTTAAGCTTCGGAGTATGGTTTGCTTGCATCACAAATAACGCAAATAATTATATGGATTATACCATCCGCACTGCCCACAGCGAGTCATATTAGATGGGCTCAACGTTACTTACATGACTTAAGGCAAACTGGAAAGCAAGGAACAGAACGGACTCTTCTCAGCCTCGTTGAAGATTCTTTCTACCTGTCCTCACAACAAAACGAAAAATACCGAACAAAAAAATGCCCGTCATTATCACCAACGAACCTGCCCCGGCCGTTGCTGAGTCCCTTAAGGCCGAGGGCAGCGAGGCCAAGCCGGCGTACCTCGTCGTCTATGCCTCGCACCGCGACGGACGCTCGTGGTGCGGTGACTGCACGGCGGCCGAGCCGTACATCGAGAAGAAGTTTGGCGGCAATGAGGACACTGTCCGGGTCGTCTACGCGGGGTTGCCTGAGGAGTGAGTCGGATACATCCCCCCTCCCCTCACACAGACTCTTCCCCCCCCTCGTTTCGCCCACGCTCCGGGAAGGGGCTCAATGAGTGGATGGGAACGTGATTATCGCCATGATCCATTATATTGGTTTTCCGTGCTCTTGCTGACTCTGGGACCGCAGGTGGAGGACGAAGGAGAACCCGTGGAGACAGGCGCCGTTCAACGTCACGAACCTGCCGACGCTGATCAAGGTCTCTGGCGAGAAGGTGAGTCTCTCTGTTTCCCTGCCCCTCAATTCTCTTCTCCGGCCGCCCCGGTGTGACGACGGCGCTGACAGGGGAGTCTCAGAAGTGGGAAAAACTAGTCGAGGCGGACGTCTACGACCAGAGGAAGCTCGACGCCTTCGTCAGCGGCAACGGCCGCTTGTAACAAGCCTCTACACATATGAAATCATTCAATAAATAGAGGAAGCAATCATTAGTGACTAACGACGCGTTTCCCTGTTGGCCGCTCTTGCCGTCAGCAACAAAGCATCGTATGTGATTTCGAGTAGCCAGCACGTACGTACTCTTTTGCATAAGAGATGAAAAGAGGAGGGCGAGAGAACAAGGGTCGCCAGTTATATTCCACGTTCACTCAAGGTTGAGAAAAGTAGTCCGGAGTGCCAGCTGTCATTGCCCTTTATGGAGATTGGCATATCTGTAGCTCACATACCCGGGGATGAAAAGACTGTCACCTCAGTGAGAACCAAGCTTTGAGACAAAGGGGGTACGGCAAAGGGAGTAAATCCCATTTAAACGTCGAGCCATCTCTGCATTACTCATGTATCTATCCAACATTGCGTTCAATTAGGTTACAGGCCGAATGTGACTCGGTAATCCGCAAAGCCATTCATTCATAGGAGCCGAAGCGCCCATCATCAAATATCCAGCACCCATTAGAGAATTCTGTTAATGATAAAAAGAAGAAGACAAGAAACACCACCTGCATAAAAAGAAACCCACCTCCTCTTTCGTATCCCCATGACCTCCAAACAGTGACTTTGCCTTCCTCCTCACCCTCGGCCTCGAAGAGGAAGCCCGTGAAGCTGAAGATGTGGCGCGTCGTCTAATAAAAAGGATAACAAATGTGGCAACGGGAAAAGGGAAGCAGAGGTAAACATTACACATCTGCCAAATTAGATGGATAGCGCCCCCATACCCAATGTTTCGTTGGTACACTGCCTCTGACGCCAGCCTAGATCAGTGCGGAAGAAAGGAGAGGCAAGAAAATAAACCAAGCAACGCATGTCAAGACCCAAGAAATTCTCCACTGCGGGGAAAATTAGAGGATTATCCCGTCTTGTTTTCTTTCCCTCTCTCTTTCCCCCCCACCTTTACCCCATAATGCTAAAGTCCGATACTGAGAAGGAGAAGACGATACGTTGCAGAGTAATGGGAGAGATCATAAACATAACGGCGTAAAGTTTGTCAATTACTCGGGAATGGCTTCGTTGGATGCGGCCGGGGGGGATTCGTCCTTCTTGCCCCAGCCTGAAGCCCAGCCCATCCAGCTGGATCGCTTGTTGTTCTCCTGCTTGGTTTCGTTGTTCTCCTGTACCAGACGAAGAGGACGGGGCTTGTTACCCGCAAAGGTGGTCTGCTTCTCATGGTGAGAACGCGGCGGCGACTGCGAGGGAGGCGTGGTCAGGCCATTCGAGTCACCGCTCGTGCTCGAAGTCTCGCTGCGCATTCCAGGGAAGTTTCCTGCGGTCGGTGCCTGCTGACCGCTGGGTGCCCGCGCTGCGGCGTTGGGGTTGCCGCCGATAAAGGTCTGCGAAGTCCGCGGGGTGCGAGGGGAGCCAAGCGGCGGGGAGATGGGGCCGTCCGGTCCCCTGTACATCTGGTTGACCAAGTTGGCACCAGTGAACTGCTCGCTCATCGGGCGCGCACGACGGGTGCTAGAGGAACGGGTAAGGTTCCCGATGGGGATGCGAGGTGCTGTCTCCGGATCGGTATGTGCCGAGTTGGCTGGCTGTGCCGAAGGCATGTACGACATAGGCCTTGGTCTAGGCTTGTTCGGGCCGGCGGCCATGGTCTTCGCTCGTTGCAGCAGAGAGGCTCCGGAAGCGCCCTCCTTTGGCGGTGGCGGAGGGAGATCTTTGTTGGTATTGGCGCCTAGTGGCTTGGGCTCACTGGAAGTGTCCAAAATATGTTCAAAGTCTTGGTGCTGGAGGAGTCTCTCAATAATCTTGTTGATGTAGAGCGTGAGCGCCTTGTTCTGGTCCTTCATGGACTTGACCTCTGACTCGAGGCGGCGGACATGTTCGTTATCGTTGCCAGGTTCGGATGCATCGTCGGACAGCTCGTCAGCCAAGCTCGCACCGCCAGCTCGGCCCTCGAGCGCATTGAGCGCATCCTGGTTGGCGGACGCGTTCATGTAGCTGAAATCATTCTTAGAGAAATCGCCGTTGAGAGTCTTCTCTTGGAGCAGCAGTTGGTAGCTCTCGTTGTCTTCCATGAGGCGGGCATTGGCCATGCGGGCTTCCATCAATAGCCGTTCAACTTCCTGCAACCTGCCGCCGCCCTGGTTCTCGGACTCCACTAGCTTGATTTGGGCCTCTGCCAGCTCGAGTCTCAATGACTCAATTAGCTTGTCCTTCTGGAGCAAGATCTTGGAATTGTTCCGGGAGTCGCTGCGGTTCAAAGAAGAAGGGGGTGCAAAACTGCCGTTGTCGATGTTGGGGGACGATGTTGCAGCTTGTTCTATTAGTCTCTGATTTCTCGGTCGTGGTATATGGTGAAACTCACATTGCCGCGATGGGCGACCCTCCTCGTCATTAACTCGCTGCGACAGGGTGTCCTTTAGCCTCTGGATGATAGTCTGCATCTCCTCCTCTCTGTTGGACATTTCTTCCTTCTCCTTGGTCATTGAGCTTCGCTCAGCCTCGTAGATGGCCTCCATCTCACGCATCTTCTTAGCGGCATCCCTTTTCTCCTTTCGCAGCGTCTCGATCTGCTCTTCCGCTTCATGCACCTTCTCCTCTAGCTTAGAAGACTCCTTGATGGCATCGTCCAGTCTCGTCTGCAGGACTTCGACCTGTTTCCTGTACTGATCGGAAGAGACCTCGGCCTTGGAAAGACGCTCCTTGAGGTCGTCTAGCAACGCAACGGTCTCAGCCCTCGCAGCTTCTTCGGCTTCGGTGTTGCCGCTGTTGTTGCTATTTCCCAGAACGGAATCCCTTCTCGAGGCGACTGCTGCCCGGGCGGATACAGGCGTCCCCGACCGAGCGGGAGCTCTGCGCGCAGCAGTAGCAGCGGTGGGCGTGGAAGACCGAGTGGGTGTTCTTGCGGGAGACACAGAAGGTGACGTTGCAGGATCCGTCGAAGAAACGCGACCGACGCCTGCAGCGGGCGGTTTCTTTGCGGTGGCAGCGGACATGGTTGTCGCGGGTGCCTTGTTGTGATAAATTGTTGTTGATGCACGGCCTGAAGAAACGAGAAAAAGTAAGCGGGGGAGTTGTCGAGCGATAAAAAGACGGCGGTAGAGGTGCAGGGCCAGGATTTATTCCTGTAGTGACGATGTTCCGTTTCAGAGAGAAAAAAAAGGCTATCTTACCAGATGTGTGTGTGTATGTGTGTAAGATTGCCTATTCTTGGAACAACAAGTGGCGCGGGAACGAACACGCAACAGCTGAGAGGTTGTCGATCGTTTGGCTACCCAGAAAATGCGAATGCCAAATAGGTAGATTAGTGTGGTGTAGGAGTGCGGTGCAGAATGGGAGGTGTGCACAGCAGCAGTAGCAGTGCTTCGCAAGCTTAAGTCGGTGTCAGATGGCTTCAGCCCCGGTAAATAGGTTCTATGGCTCCTCTCACTTCCCTCGCATTGGCCGGTTAGATACTGGGAGGAGATGGGGGGGTGGGAGCGTGCGTCGGTTGTCTAGTCCACAGGTTCCAGTGAATTTCCGATATTTCGGGGCGGCCCCAGGGGGGTCTAATTCGCTTAAATGCTCAAGACGGAGGACGCGGGCCAACCAGAGAGTGGGAAACGGAGCGAGAACAATGCTTTTTCCCTCCTCCAAATTCCAAACCGGGCCACTAAGCGGTTCCCGCGTCGCTCAGGCACTGCAGAACGAGCGAACAGATTCGGTCACCGTTCATACAGCAAGCCTACCTATCTTCTTGATGGCCAGTCACCTAGCCCTAGGGTGGTAGGTTGGGCAACGGCAACCTTATGCTAAGATATATGACGTGCCATATGTAGGTGTGCTGTTCCTGACCGA